ACTGGACAGCTGCTGACTTCGCGAGAAGCCATTTTAGTAGGCTAGCCTCAATCCGTCTAGTAGGATGCCCGCATAAGTAGGTTAGCTTTAATTAGTAGTTTTGCCTCAAAACCAACTCACAAGGACTTCAGTGCGGTAACTGTCGTCCGAACGGCGCTTCATACGCGGTCCGATGGCCTGCGGACGTGCACTCATCTGATAGTCAAATCTCCCCCTACCAATTCTCCACTCCTTATGTACAGAATAATCTATTCCTACCGCTCTGGCTTCCCGTGACTTTTCTTAAGGATCGGGCCTGAAGGTCGGTGTGACAAGGGTGCACCTTATTGACCTTAACTCCTCGACAGTTGAAACGCCGAAAGCTTAAAGGAGTTGCGTGAAGGGAGGACAAGGGCAGGAGGCAACATAACAGAACAAAAACGGCAGCAAGAGGATATACGGCAGATGAACAATTGTTTTCATTTTAGGCCGAACTAAAAACTCAAACAGTTTTGAATTTTAAAAATCGCGAACATTAACAGCACGAAAAAGACAGTGAACAAGTACAATTTAAAAAGCGTACAGAAGGCATACACAATGATGGAATATCAGAAAATCGATAGAACAACGGGAAAATGGCAGTAAAAGACGTGACATAGGGAAATAAAAACGCCCGATTTATACACAAAATAGTTACAACAACAAGCAAGCAAAGATAAGACGCCTTTTGGTAAATATAACATATTTGGGTAATAAAATAGATTGACTGAATATAATCTGGTCTCCTGTATTTACCACATGAACGAAAACGAAAAAAATACGACGACCGACTTGAAAGTATAGCTCATGTGAGATGGCAGTCTTTGCAAGTACATGATCATTCGTACTCTCGTGTTTTGGTAACATGTGCCATTTCTATGGTGTAGAAGGAAATAACAACCCACTAATGCATAACTTAGAACTCAATCCTTCTAACGAGCTATTGTAAACCGGTAGGGATTCCTTGTGGGGCCGCCTGGGGAACGTGAGAAGCGTGCCCCTCAGGTTCACGGGCACCTGGTTTTAGGGAAGAGGATGGGCGTTGTAAGTCAGGGAACAAATAAGATCGCAATATTTCTGTAAAATAAAAGTTACGAGGACAAGTTGGGTCGCGTACTCAAACCTTGGGAGAAGACACTGAAATAGGCTTTAATATCGTCGCTAACCCCCCGCCGGACCAACGGCGAACAGGTGTATGTAGGGGGAGTTTGCCCTAACCGCGGGCGAGGTCACTGAGGTATAGTTTCCAGTGGAACCATCAACATCAACTAGAAAAAAGGTTAACGAAGTACAAAAGTGGGAAGATTTTTGAGATCACCCTACTGAAAATTTGTAAGCAAGCGGTTATTCCCGTGGTTAATTTAAAAAGGCTAATTTCGCTCAGTATACTGACTTAAGTGGTTATGATATGCGATGACCTTCGGAAGACCGCTCTGCAGTTCAATGCCGTCATCAAATCCTTGCTGGATTGACGGCTGGCGTGCAAAAAGCTGGAAGATTATGGGTAATTCGACCTACTTAAAACATTTAATTGGGTCGCTTTAATACATAAGGACCTTTCGAAGACCCTACTTGGAAATCTTGCCTGTAAACCTTCGATGGAACTATCAAGTGCAGCGGCCTATTTTCGCGACGATGTCAATCACGCGTTTCAGCGGACTGCAGGCAAACACAGTGACTTTTGCTCTACCTACCGCACTCTTTCTACCCACACTCACTAGTGCCTGGTTTGAGGACCGAGTCATGAAAACAGGAGGCAAGGTTGAGTGCAGGTGACACATACAGCTTTACAACCCACCGTAACTTGATCAGACAGGGATCAGACGCAAGTGGCTGGCGCGGTGTGAGCCTGAACCGTCGGTATGTACGAGATCCATCTGGTGCAGGGGCGGTGACCTGCGCTGGATTATAGTGAGAGTAGACTTGCACTGTATCTATCTCACTCTTAGTTTCACTACCCCATCTGGGTCCAGTGCCATGACTAAATCAATAAAACTAGAGGCAGGAGATGGCGCAGGTGGCTGGCGCGGCCTGAGCCGTCTCTAAGCGTGCCAGTAGACCTGGTTTGGATCCTACGAAATAGGAGTACTATAAAGGCCATATACAGGGGCCATTGCAACCTGACTCTCAGTCCGCTAGTCAGACAATCCACAAAAACACACACTGGGCTGACGGCGTGGTCCGAGTTATCACATGGCTTGACGCTAGCCTAACATTGATATGTACTCTACGCATCTTGTCGGGGCCTTTGACTATGGTTGCACCCAAAAGAGTAAACTAAGATCACCTCTGTCAACCCTGTGAATAATTCCCTGAGATTCAATCAGATCAGTCGGAATTCACCTTGTTTGGAGCGTAGTATTCAGCCTTTCCCTGCCAAACTTCACTGAAAGCTCACAAACCAGGTGCCTTATGCGTGGCTTTTGCATTCACTAGGACCAAGTGCGGAGACCGGTATTGCAGGTGCGACGGAACAAATATTTTCTGAAATGCATGGAAGTCTTGTTCAGTTAGCTTTTAGAAGCG